ATACGGTCTCAACAGTTTTGGAACAAAAAGGAAACCATTGGCTTTCACCACAGAGATTTTAAAATATCAAGCAATATTAGTAGAACAAGATGATGTGGAAATTGTGGTCACTAACGTCGTAAATCCAGCTTCTTTCCTTAGCGGAACTCTGGATGAACCTATAACTCATGATTGTATAGAAACAATGGAGACTGTGTATTCTAGTCGACCTGATCTTAAGGAGGAACCTTTAGAAGATGCTGATGAATCTTGGTATACTGATGGGAGCAGCTTTGTAAAACAAGGACAACGTAAGGCAGGATATGCTGTTACAACTGCTCAACAGGTAATCGAGTCCAAACCATTACTCCCTGGGACGTCCACCCAGAAAGCACAGGTAATTGCACTTACGTGAGCACTGGAACTGGCAGCAGGAAGGAAAATAAATATTTGGACAGATTCTAAATATGCATTCGGCATGATACATGCTCATGGAGCGATTTGGAAAGAACGTGGATTGCTGACTGCTCAGGGAAAACAAAAAAAAAAACCATGCTGAAGAAATTTTAAAATTGTTAGAGGCTGTAAAACAATCAGAAAAGGTAGCTATCATGCATTGTCAAGGACTCCAAAAGGGAAACGCTGATTTTGAAATTGGAAATCGATTGGCAGATCAGGAGGCTAAACAGGCAGCTGAAATAACTGAGGTGAAGGCATTGTCTTTAATACCAGACGGTAAAATCCAAACTATATACATGAACCAAAAAGCCAAATTATACAAAAGAAGACTTAAAATTAATTGAAGATTTGAAAGGTAAAATGAAACCAGATAGATGAGTATATTTAAAAGATAACTGTGTAATAATACCCTCTAATTTGATATGGCCCATAGTTTTTACAGAACACAATAAAACACATCGGGGAGCTGACACATTGCATAAGAGCATGAGTCAGACATTAGTGGGATGAAATTTATACACAACAATAAAACAAGTAACTTAACAATGTAGCATCTGTTTACGTAATAACCCCAATACCAGGAATAGAATAAAATTTGGAATAATAGGTAAAGGAAATTATCTGGGACAACAGTGGTAAATTGATTTTTTCAGAACTCCCTAGAAAAGGGGGGTTTTGTTATTTACTGGTTCTGACTGACATGTTTCCAGGATGGCCCGAAGCTTTTCCTTGTCGAACAAACAAAGCAAGAGAAGTGGTTAAAGTCTTGTTAAATGAAATAATACCATGCTTTGGGATTCCAGTAGCAATGTCTTCTGAGAGAGGTTCACATTTTTGTGTGCAAGTGGTACAACAGATAAGTAAGATTCTAAAGATAGATTGGCAACTGCATACTCCTTATAGACTGCAGGCAAGTGGACAGGTAGAAAAATGAACCATTTAATTAAACAACAAATAGCTAAAATCGGACAAGAGGCTAATTTGTCATGGCCTCAATCCCTCCCTTTAGCATTACTTAGAATTAGAGTTAAACCTAGAGTAAAGAAGAATTTGAGCCCCTTTGAAATTTTATATGGAAGGCCATATCAATTTATATTTAGTGGAGAGGATCTAATGCAGCTGGGATCAGAATATTTATATACTTACATAACTGAACTTCAAAAACAATTAAATAAAGTACATAAATTTGTGTTAGGGACCAGGGCTAGAGGGTTGGATCAACCAATCCACCCCTTTAAGCCTGCGGAATATATGTATAAAGACTTTTTCAGGACAACCCCTACAGGAAAAATGGAATGGACTGTATCAAGTGTTGCTGACAACTCACACTGCTATCAAGATTAGAGAACAAGCCGCTTGGATCCACAATTCCCGAGTGAAGAAGGCTCCAGGAGCTCCCTGAAAAGTAACACTAGGTGACAATGAACTGAAACTAAAGCTTAGTCGATCAAGATGAGGACATTATGGTCGGGAGTATTTGGTAATATGGTTGGCAGAAAATTTGTTCATAGAATTGTTTTGTTTTTATGGCTTATAGTTGTAATTGTGATTCAAGAAGGTGCCTCTGTGATAACAGAGAATGGTGGGTGGCCTTGAACTAAAGCCGTAACAACAGAGGATAAGAACTTTAATGGAAAGTTATCAGTTATGGTCATCTGGCGAACAAATGGTAACTATTTATATAAACCATCAGAATGGTGAAAATTAGGAGAAGAGTGGACACAAGATAATGTATCCTGAGCTCTTAGTTGTATGCAAGCACAGTTATGGTTGCAGGCAACGGCTGCCTTGATCATTAGGGAAGGAAGTAAAGGCATTTTTCCAGCTGAAGTCCAAAAGGCAGTCTGGGACAATGCCAATGATTTTGAGAAGTTCCAGTCCTCGTGGACCCTGGTAAATTGTACTTATGCCCATTATTAACATGGCTACTGCCTTCGTGCTTACTATACGGATGGAGAATGGGAAATGGCAGTCTGTAAATCTAGAATCATGTGTTACCGGGGAACAACGAGGATTTATTTGTGAAAGCAATACAATTGAGGCTCAGGATGTATGTTTTGACACGGAGCAAGGTATCTGTCACTTTGAAATTCATCCAAATACTAGCCAAAAGAATGTGCTTGTATATGTTGGTCAAGGGTGTGTGTGTTTAAGAACTGCTTGTGATTTTGTAGAAGTAGATAAGGAGAACGTAACTCTCCATAGCAAACATCATTCTAATTTCTGTATTTGTAACTTTGTTAGAATCGTCGGGTGTGATATTCTATATTTGGCACCAGTGGTATCCTACCAGCTGATCAAGTCTAACAACACAATGTATCATAAGTTACTACCTACACCTATTGGGATGAACCTCACACTAGTGAAGCAACTAGTTAAACACCAAGACCTGATTAGAATTTTAAAAGGCATTCAGGAAAATGGAGAGAAGACTCTAATTACTGTCCATCATGATACAAAGGAAATAAGCAGAGTTTTGCAAAGAGTAAAACGAGACACAAGTCACAACTGGTGGGATACACTTTTTGGATGGTCGCCAACTGTAACTGGGATTTTGAACACATTGAGTCACCCAATTATTGTTTTATTGATATTAGTTGGTGTAAGTTTAATATTGTCTTTTGTATTACTTGTTTGGAATTGGAAATTGTTACAACGAATGTCCATGTTAGCCTCCTTGACAAATGTGCATGGTAAGGTATTGAGGGGTACATATCATAAAGACTGGGAAGAAAATTTCTGTATTAAGTAAAAGAATTTACTAGATTTTCCAGAAAAGGGGGGAATGATATAGTATAGACTCACTTTAGGATAGAATAAAACTTGTGGTTAAAAGTTAGCAAGGACAAAGTAAACGACATCTTGTTATCTGTAGACCTTTTGTTATGTTTAAGCATCTTGTTATTTGAAAACATCCCAGTATCTGTTAACCGTTAGTCAGGCTGAGACTTGAGATAACTTGAGTCAATTGTCTTGTCTTGTTAACTGAGACTTCCTGTTATCTGCCGACCCTCAGTTAAACTGAAAGCCAACTCAGCATTTTTACAGCTTGGAAAACAACTGATTAAGCAAAGGTGAAAAGTGCATTACGAGGAAGACCTACGGCCTTCCTCCCAAAGACCACTGCCCACATCCTGGAGATCCTGGCCCACAATTCTTGGAAGGCTTTGCGCAAGAGCAAGGACTGATAAGCTAATTAGCATACGAAGCGAGGGTAGGCGGGGTTAGGTAATGAATATGTATAGGTGCTAATTGAATATTCATTGTTTCGCTGTATAAATATGAGATATTTTGTCACTTCAAACATGCACGATAGGCGGAAGGATCCCCCGTGCATCCAGCGCTGCAATAAAGAATATACCACTTAAAGAAATTTTGGCTTTGATCTTTAAATCACTATTAAGCAGGTCTAATCCTTACACCAATTTTAGTTTAACACACTCTGGTCAGATCTGCCGTTATCTCAACCTTTCGAGCCCCACGTTGGGCGCCAAAAAGACTGTCGTGGTTTAACCCGGTGTCCTGGTTTCAGTTAGCACAGAATTAATTTTCTTCCTAGTAGCTGGTGGAATGCTGTGTTTTGGCTTAGGATGAGAAGAGTGCTGATAACACCCCGATGCTTTAATTGTTGCAGAGCAGTGCTTATACTAAGCCAAGGACATCTCAGCCTTTTGCTCTGTCCTGCCAACGGGCAGGCTGGGGGTGCAGTAAGAGCTGGGAGGGGACAGACCCAGGACAGGTGACCCAAACTAGCCAAAGGGGTATTCCATACCATCTGACGTCATGCTAAACAATATATAGGGGTGGCTAGCTGGGGGGAGGGGGCCGGACTGCTCGGGGTTAGGCTGGGCATCGGTCAGCGGGTGGTGAGCAATTGCATTGTGCATCACTTGTTTGTACATACTATTACTTTCCTATTATCACCATTGTATCATTATTATTATTGTTGTTATTATTATTTTGTTATTATTATTTTCCTGTCTTATTAAACTGTCTTTATCTCAACTCACGGGCTTCACTTTCCATTTCTCTCCCCCGTCCCAGAGAGGGAGGGGGGAGGGTGAGCGAACGGCTGCGTGGTGTTTAGCTGCCGGCCGGGTGTCAGAAAATTAATTCTGTTCTAACTGAAACCAGGACACTCCCCCATCCCACTGCAGGGGGGGAGGGTGAGCAAAGGGCTCAGTGGTGCTTTGCTGCCGGCCCTGTTAAACCACAACAGTCAAGGAGATTTATATAAACTGTCAGTCAGATACCAAGTCTGACCCTCAACAAACCATGAATAGCTATGTTTAAACTAGATACCAGTTTTTGCTTGCTGATCTGGTTTCTTCCACATGACCTTAAAAAAGCTATCCTCAAGACAACTAGCTTTCCAAGCTTTGTATTATATACGCGTTTATATGGGCACACATCATGCATTCATGCAAATAAAATCTGCAGGTTTGTAATCTTTCCTTAGGAAAAAAACCCCACTATACTGGTTATTCCATTTATTGGCTGGCATATTTACTATTATCAGCCAGTTCATTCTTGCTGCATTACATGGTTGTGTAATTTTGCAGGACATGGAGAAGAGGAGAAGAATAGAAGAAGCATACAAAAATGCTTTGACAGAACTGAAGAAAAAGTCCCACTTTGGAGGGCTGGACTATGAGGTAGAAATTCTGCTTGGATAATTTAAAAAATGCTAAGGCGTTCAAAGACTGGTTTATTTCTCAAAAGTGGTGTGTGTGTATTTTTGTGTGTGTGTTTGTAAATCAAGGTGTTAGGTGTTCATACCACTTTTATTTTTCTACCTTGGAAATGGAAACAGGATGAAGAATCTCAGTCCTTAACTTCTTGAGAATAGAAGTCTGTATTTACCCCAGATTTTCTTGTTCTGCTTTTGTCTAGAGCATTTTTCTTACAGATATTTCTAATTACTTGTGATTTTTTTTTGGTTGTTGTTGCTCTATCCATATGCAATAGTTTTGTATGTTTGCTTTTTAATGGGTTAGCTGTATAGTATGTAATGCAAATATGAAAACCCTGACTACAGAGGTAGTCCTAGAATCTGAAGTTTAACTTAAATTGATTTTTAACTTGTCACTGCCACTTTAAATGTGTTCATAAATTCAGTCATTTTAAGTCCTGCTTCAGCTGACAAATTGCATATTTCATCAGCTTCCTCCTCAGGTATTTAGTAAAATTCTAAGATATATTCTTCTTCAGAAGGTAGTTTAAGCTAATGCATCTATATTGTAGTTTCTGTAATTTGCAAGAACTTGACCCTCTCATGTAGATTAATCAAGCACTTGTTTCTGTTTACAAATCATAGCCTGAGAAATAGTAGTAATGCGTTGAGATATTTAAAAGATAGTTGTGCTTAGGTTCTCTGCTATGACATAGGCATGAAATGTAAAAGAAGAAGATGGATAGGAAGTTGGACTTTGTCTACCTGATTATGAACCCAGCTGCTTCTCCCAGATATCCCTGTTGTAGTTTTATGAAACTTGCTAGACTGGTTTGTTTTACAATACAATAAAAGCAGCAAACCTAGTCTTCTTAAATTACCATTTTTTGTATTTAGACTTAAGTTTTTAATACTTGACTCAACTCTACCTGCTGTTTAGTGCTAAACTGTTCTTTCCAAGAATTCTCAAGAGATTCCCAGGATTTTATCTTGTATTGTTACGTTTTGAGTACATATCTGAAATTTACCCTAAGACACTGGAATGAATACTCAGAAGAAGTCTAACTGCACAACTATGATAGTATGCTTACTTTTCTGACACACTTTAAACAGTTTTAAGAGGAGATATGTTAATAAAAGCTTAAATCTGATGTCAAAGTGTATTGCCACTTCCTCAATCCTCAGTTTCCTGTTTGCTTTTACTTGTTTATATAACTACCACTAAATTGTAGTTAGAGGGAATAACTTCCTTTAACAAGTAGGGTTTTCAGTTGAATTGTAATCTAAGAATATTGTTGAAAATATTTGAGGTCTGTGGAGGAATTTCCTTCTATCAGTTATGTGCATAATATATACGTATATATTTCCAATATTAAACTTAGCTGGAGCTCTTGTCTCCAAAAATTTAAACTAGTTTTGTTTCTTATGCTCTAGGAGGGTCCTAATAGTCTGATTAATGAAGAAGAATTCTTTGATGCTGTTGAAGCTGCTCTCGATAGGCAGGATAAAATGGAAGAACGGGTATCGATGCTTGAAAAATGTTAATGATGGGCACTTCATAGAAGACTTTTGTGACTTAAACTCAATCCTGGGGTGCATCTCCTGAAACTCTAGATATTTTATACTGACACTTATAATTGGAATTTAGTTCTTAATTTTTGTATGGTTGAATACTGTTGCTTAACACTAATTTTGAGAATGTGACTTCACAGTTCACATAGAAAAGGACAGTATAAGTGTTAACCTAATGGAATATCTCTGGTTTCTAATTCTTAAAGAAGTATATTAGGGTCCTGTATAAAGCTTATCTTTGTATTTGTGAGAAAATTTAATTATCACATACGTAGCTAATGCCCTGTGCAAGTAAGAATATCAAACACTGCAGCTATTTCTCAAATCCTAATTACTGCCCTGAAGTTTCTTTTGGTGATAGCGGTATGTGAAATAGGAAAGATATAGTTCTACTGATGTTTCTTTTTTATTTTAAAAAAATGTGTAGGCTCTAGCTACTTCTCTAACTCATTTCTTGAATACACTTCTGTGGCAAGGATGAGAAAAAGATGAAAAAGAGATAAAATGCATGGGATTAAATATATAGTATATGAGAACATATAGTAGCGTATAAAATGAGAGGGAATAACAAAGTGGTACATCCTTTGTCTTAAGCATTTAGGCTTGTGAATACACTGACTTGGTTAAGAATTATAAGACTTACCAGTAGACATACAGTATGCAACAGAATTTACCTATGGTGGGGTCTCTTAATGGCAAGTAAAAGTTTTGAGTGATTGTTACTACTACATTGATGCAACATCCTTAATGCTGTTGATCAATTTTCCTTAACCCAGAAACATACCTTGAAGTATAGATGAATGGGTAATTCAGTCTCCAGGCCCATTCACTTATCTGAGAAGTCCAGCAGGACACTAACTTAATGCCTGTCAGGGACAGCGTTAGTTCTTGTTTTAATGTGGTAGCCACTATATAGATTGAGGATGACTCACTGCTTAATAGTCTACCCAGTAATATCTGACTACCAATAATTAAACCTATTTTGTTGCAGTCTCAAAGTGAAAAGGTCAGATTGCACTGGCCAATATCCTTACCTTCTGGAGATGCATATTCTGCTGTGGAGGCTCATCGATTTGTTCAAAAGTAATATATTTTCCATGGTCACCTCAGACTAATGGGATGACATGATGTCCTGGTTTCAGTTAGCACAGAATTAATTTTCTTCCTAGTAGCTGGTGGAATGCTGTGTTTTGGCTTAGGATGAGAAGAGTGCTGATAACACCCCGATGCTTTAATTGTTGCAGAGCAGTGCTTATACTAAGCCAAGGACATCTCAGCCTTTTGCTCTGTCCTGCCAACGGGCAGGCTGGGGGTGCAGTAAGAGCTGGGAGGGGACAGACCCAGGACAGGTGACCCAAACTAGCCAAAGGGGTATTCCATACCATCTGACGTCATGCTAAACAATATATAGGGGTGGCTAGCCGGGGGGAGGGGGCCGGACTGCTCGGGGTTAGGCTGGGCATCGGTCAGCGAGTGGTGAGCAATTGCATTGTGCATCACTTGTTTGTACATACTATTATTATTTCCCTATTATCACCATATTATTATTATTATTGTTATTATTGTTATTTTATTATTATTATTTTGTTATTATTATTTTCCTGTCTTATTAAACTGTCTTTATCTCAACTCACGGGCTTCACTTTCCATTTCTCTCCCCCGTCCCAGAGAGGGAGGGGGGAGGGTGAGCGAACGGCTGCGTGGTGTTTAGCTGCCGGCCGGGTTAAACCACGACACATGATATTTTCTATATAATTTGTATGGGTAGCTGAGACTGATTTTCTGTAGATATTTCTAGTAACTTTTAATGGTTTACTCATTTTCAACTAAAGTAGCTAGAATTGGTCTTGAACACCTCCGGGGATAGAGCATCCACAACTTCTCTTGGCAAGCTCCTTATCACAATAAGGCAAGCTGAGGTTAAAGATCAGTGGCAAAGGGAATGGAATATGGCATCAGATTATTGCTTTTTTTTTTTAGCTCCTGCATGGATTATGCTAAGTAGAAGGTACTACCCAGTTCCTTAGATTGTTTGAAGTTAACTGACTCCTCACTACAGAAAGGATGATCTTGTTAATTTGCAACAAGTTACTCCCTTCCCCTTCGCAAATATATTTTCCCTGGAACAAATGTTTGCCAGATTAACAAGTCAGTCCACCTGCTCTGGAGCCTCATTGCTAGTGGAGAAACAGGTGAAAGACAACTGAGAGCATGAAGATAAATGCAGCGCACCTTTTGGTGACAACTTGATCTGGACCATATCAATATAAAATTGGCCTCCATCCCCTGGCTGGGGATTTGGCTTTTGGAAAGGCACGCTAATATCCTGATTCTGAATAAACATGACTTGTTCCTAGACAAGTGAATATTGTTATCAATGAAATGTCAAGTAAAAATGTGCAGCTTTGTTTTTAAAATGGAAATAAAATTTGTTAAACAGTACCTACCCGTCGTGAACCCATGTTGGCTGGGACCAATGACTGCATTGTCCCCCAGGTGCGCCTCAATAACTTCAAGAATCATCTCCATAATTTTACCAGGCAATGAAGTGAGACTGACAGGCCTGTAGTTACCAGGGTCTTCTTTCTTGCCCTTCTTGAAAATTGGCACATTTGCCAGCTTCCAGTCTATTGGGACCTCTCCAGATTCCCAAGATCCTTGAAAAATAATTGAGAGAGGTCCCACAACGATGTCAGCCAGCTCTCTGAGCACCCTGGGATGGATCCCATCCGGACCCATGGACTTGTATGGATCCAGGTGGAGCAGCAAATCCCGCACGCGTTCAGGGTCGGTTGGGAGTTTGTCATTCCCACCGTCATGGTCCTCCTGCTCAGGGCACCCAGGGTCCCAAAGCCCATCATCAGCACTGAAGACAGAGGTGAAGAAGGCATTAAACGTCTCTGCTTCGCCTATGTCCTTGTCTGTGAGGAGACCTTCCCCGTCAAGTAGCGGACCTATGTTTTCTTTGGTTCTCCTTTTTCTGTTCACATATCTAAAAAAAACTTTTTTATTGTCTCTCACAGACATGGCCAGCTTCAACTGTAGTTGGGCTTTGGCCACACTAATTTTCTCCCTACAAACATGGACAGCATCCCTGTATTCCTTCCTCGTCACCTGACCCCCCTTCCAGCAGCCGTACACTTTCTTTTTCCGTCTAGGCTCCAGTAGAAGATCCCTGGTCAGCCAGGCCGGCCGGCTGTGCCACCTGCCTGTCTTCCGATATTTTGGAATTGCCTGATCTTGTGCTTTTAGGAGGCGGTGCTTAAAGGCTGACCAGCACTGATGGATGCCAACGCCTTCAAAAGCAGCTTCCCAGGGGACCTTGCTGACTAGTTCCCTGAGCAGCCTGAAGTCTGCTTTCCCCATATCCAGGGCTGAAGTTTTGGTGGCAGTTTTCCTTCTGTCACCATAAATTCTAAATTCAACCACTTCATGGTCACTATGGCAGAGATGGTTGCCAATTGCCACGTCCCCCACAAGACCCTCTCTGTTCTCCAGCAACAGATCTAGGAGGGCACCTTTCCTAGTGGGATCCCTTAGCACCTGCACCAAGAAGTTATCATCTATGTGCTTTAGGAACCTTCTGGACTTGCTCGTGTCAGCCGTGTGGTGATCCCAGTTGACGTCTGGCAAGTTGAAATCCCCCATATGGACAAGGGAAGTTGACCTCGAGGCATCTCTTAGTTCTGCAAAGAATAATTCATCGGCATTGTCGTCCTGGCCAGGTGGTTTGTAATAGATTCCCACAACGACATCCCCTTTATTTGTTCGTCCCTTAATCCTTACCCAGAGGCTCTCAACTTTGCCATCCCCAACCTGAAGTTCCACGCAGTCCAGCCCATGCTTCACATACATCGCCACCCCGCCACCTCGCCTACCCTGCCTGTCCCTCCTGAAGAGCCCGTAACCATCTATTGCAGTACACCAGCCACAGGACTCATCCCACCAGGCTTCGCTTATGCCGATGATGTTGTAGCTGTGGGACTGGGCCAAGATTTCTAGCTCATCCATTTTATTCCTCATACTGCGTGCATTTGTGTAGAAGCACTTCAAATGCGCTTCCCTACACACAGCACCTTGTGGAGCAGACCGAAGGACCTCTCTGGCACACAGTCCCTCTGATTCTAGCGCACCATCCCTTAGCTCATCACCAGCGTGCCTGATTTTATCCCTTCCCCCTTCAACTCTAGTTTAAAGCCCTAACTACCAGCCCCGCCAACTCCTGAGCCAAAATCCTTATCCCTCTCTGAAAGAGGTGCATCCCATCTGGTGACAGCAGGCCTGGCGTCACATAGACCTTCCCATGATCAGAAAAACTGAAGTTCTGTCGGTTGCACCAGTCCCGAAGCCACATGTTAATGTGGTAAGCCCGCTTGTCAGCATCAATCCCCCCTATCAGAAGGACAGAGGCAAATACAACCTGTGCTTCTCAACCTTTGACTAGTCGCCCCAAAGCCCTAAAGTCCCTTCTGATCGCTCTTGAACTTCTCGTTGCTACCTCATCATTACCAGCCTGAAAGACCAGTAGCAGGTAGTAGTCGGTGGGCTGTACCAGGCACTTGACTTTCTTAGCTAAGTCTCTCACCCGAGCCCCGGGGAGGCAGCAGACTTCCCTTTGGGTTGGGTCCAGTCGGCCTATCAGGCCCTCTGTCCCTTTCAAAAGGGAGTCCCCCATGCCAATAACCCCTCTGTCTTTCTTGACAGACAATGTAGCAATGCGGAGGGTAGGTTGCCTTGCCTTAGGCACCCTCTCCAACTGGGATGGGCTTTCGTCTACTTCATTGTTCTATGGTGTTCTAGAGACTCGTACCTGTTACATAAGGGTAGATGGGAAGGTGAGGTGGGCAGGGACAGGTCTGACCTACCACCCCAAACAGGAACCTGCCTCCATTCCCCCCCTTGGCCTAGGTCCCCTCTTACTGCCTAGTGGGATGAGGGGACTTTTGTCTTCTGCGCAGCAGGAGGCACCTGTGCTGCAGCAGGCTCCTGAGTCTGTTTCAGGGAGGGCAGAGTACACCTCCACCAGTCAATTTCCCTCTCTGACTCCCTGATGCTCCTGAGCCTGCTCACCTCCTCCTGAAGTTCCGCTACCTGTTTGAGCAGCTCTTCAACCTGGGCACATCTCCCACAGGCATACCCCTCGCTGCTACTGTTGGATAGGGACAGAAGACTTGGGCACACCCTGCAGCCCAAGACCTGGATGGAGATGTGTTTCCCCGAGCTCTCCATCTGAGTAGCCACATTGGTGACCGCGGCTGAAGAGGCCGCAAGAGATGCGGAGGCCATGTTTTTCTGCCTGGTTGATACCATAGCCAGGTTTCTCGCAAGCAGGCTACCAGTACCAGTACCGAAGCAGAAGACCGCTGCAAGAGAGCTGTGAGGGGCCCTCCCTGCACGAACTGCCGCACAAACTGCCGCTCCACTCCCTTCTGACGTGCCACGCCCTGTTTGCCCGCCCTGCTCGACGTGCTCCTGGTAGCTCGTGCTCCCTAGGGGCTGCTTTAGAACGTCCAGGGAGGGGGCGCTGCTGGCTCCACCTACGCCTTGTCAGCCTCCCTCGCGAGGGCTGCCGGGTCCTGGCGGCTCCCTTGGCTGCTTCGAGTGGACTCGATGCCGGAAAAAAAAAGCCCTGCCCGTCTCAATCCCCTGCTCCACGGCAGAACGCGTCTGCCCCGGAGCTGATCACCTTGGCAAGAAATAAAACCTTACTTAAAGTAAGTTCATGAGGAAAAAAAAGTACTAAAAATGTCTTCCAAATTTTCAGAGGAAGTCAGGGGGTTCAATGAGCAATTCAAAAAGCCTCAAACTCTTTGAAGTGAGTTCCTGTGGAGGCCTCCTTCTTTTCTTTCCTTGCTCTTTCCCCTCTTCCCTCTAGATTTGGCATAAAGCAAAAAAGCAGCAAAATACAAAAGCAAATACGTAAAAGTCAGTTTAGTCCTTAATAGATCAGGCCCTAGAGAATAAGAGAAATAGGAATGTGAAGGTAATTGCAGGTAAAGGTTGGGAGCATGATGAAGATTCCTTTCTGACAGAAGTGTGACCTAGAGCTAGTAAATTGATTACCTAAATAGTACATATATAAATAGCACTTACTTGGCTTAGACTATATTGCTATTGTGTCACTGGAAAAAAATAAGAGTGCTTTGTAGGAAACTTGTTAGTAACTGGTAGGAAAAGATGACCTGTATAAAAACAAACACAGATCTTGCTGGTTTCTTTTAGTTCATAATATCTTAAAAACAACAAAAA